CTGAAGAGTACTGCTGTACTGGGATTTTTTTGGTGACGAATCCTTGCAGAATCCAAAAGTGAGCACAAAGTAATTACTATTAATAATTCATAATTTTTGCAAATTATGAAGTTGCTTTACTGAAAACAGTGACAGGGTTTGATCAGGTGGCAGCTTAACACCCTGCCTAAGGTGCATGCCATCAGTTTTACTACGGATGGAAAAAGAAGAAAAAGAAAAGAGGAAAACAATAAAAAATTCCAAGCCTTAGAGATCCTCTCTCTCCTGATCCTCCTATGAAACACCAATAACTGATTATTTATGTTACTCTCTTGGTGTGATGCCCATTCAAACAAAATAAATTTTATTTATTAAATTTGCTTGGAGTACTAAATATTAGATGAAAATTCTTCAAAAAGAGACAGTTTCAAAATCACATATCTACCATTTAGAACAAATACATATTCTCTGTGTAATGAAGTAGTGCTCTTTCCCCAGCACTGATTCAAGAACAAGTAATTTAAGAGATTCCAGGAGAAAACAAGTACTCCTCAGCTCTTGTCAGCACATAGCAGACAAAGAGTGCTTCTACAAAGTCCAAGTAGGCAAATTTTATCTCATGCCAGATCAAGACAAAAGTATTAGATACAGTGGCTCTAGATCTTAAAACATGCATTATGTCAGTCGCTAAATTTGCATAATCACTACCAAGTATTAAAACTGATCATATCATTAAAGATGACTTCAAGGGCTCAGAAGTCTTTATCAGGGTCAGCAAGTTCACCCTGTGTATTAAATCCATCTACTCTGTGGCTTCCCAATCTGTGGGAAAGGTTCTCCATATGCTGAGAGCTACCTTTCTTCTTACTCCCCACTGAAATTCATTATCTTATTCAACAACAAAACTATCTACAGCAGAGACAAAGGTGTTAGAGACCTGAGATTTCAGGATTTAAAGCACCAAGAACCAGCCTGGTTCCTAAAGAATCTGGTCTTCCTAAAAGCACTTGTAATATACAGAATAATGGAGTGAAATTTCAACAGCAACATAAACTATTTTGGTTTCACTTGCTCTTTTTCTCAGCAGCACAGTGTGATAGTGTGCAGCAAATGCTCTGTGACAGGTTTTGCCTGGTGCAAATTCCTCCCAGGAAGAAAGACCTCATTGCCTATTTCTCCTTATGGCAAATTTTAAGCAAATTAAACTGATAACCATGTCTTGAAAAACAATGCTGAGGACAGCAGTGCTGATAGGACCCCCAGAGGGACAGGGTCCGTGCCAGCACGACAAGTCCCAGCAGAGTGGCACTGCAGGGGGACGTGCTGTGCATTGCAGGCAGGGGAGATGAGCAGCCAGCCACGGGATGCCAATTAAAGGGCACTGAGATCTCTGCCAGCCACAGGGGCTCAGGCAGCCCTGGAGGGCCCTGTCCCCGCCTGAGGCAGCAGCAGGGAGCACAGCCACACCATGGGCACTGCTTTGTGCGTTGGGTACACAACACAGCTCGCTCTCGGGAGCTTCCTCAAGTGCCTGGGAGCAGCAGCCGGTGCAGAAGCTGCCAGAGGTGCCCCTGCCCTGCTCAGGTGACTGAGCTTCAATACAAGGGCAGCTCTGGCCACTGCTTGGCCCCTTGGAGCTGGAGCAAGGGTCCCTGCCTCAGTCAGCTCTGTCCTGCAGCAATGGGAGCAGATCAGGGCTTTCCAACACAGGGCTCATCAGTAATGTCCTGCTCCAGGAACTTCCTGCAGTGCCACCAGCAACAGGACAACCAAAACACTAAAATCAAGGCATTATGATTTAAAGTGAAACATTTTTAACAGCAAGAGGCTGAGGAGGGACCAGTGGTATAACACTGGCCCCTGAGAGATACCAGGCATGGACAAATCTTGCCACAGAATACTTAACTTGGAGTGAGCTAACCATGTGAGGTAACAAAATGTTATAACAGGATTAAAGTTCAGCAGGTTTTAATCCTATTTTGTATTAAAGCCAGAGAAAAACCTGTAAGAAGAATAATTTACAAATGGAAAGTAGTTCAGGTCTCATCCAGAGTTTAACAGGTGCTCTGCACCTTCTGTCCAACTTCTGGTTGACTTAAAGTGAAGGTGGATGTTAATCTTATGTAGAAAGGACCCCAAGGATGTGTCACCTTGTACCTTCAAGTGATGTATTTATTTTTTTAAGGCTAGAAGAAGAAGCAGCACACACAAAAGTAAGTCTGTTTCAGCAGATATGGCATATAATGCAGGGAAACAACCACCTCTTGCAGGAAAATGCCCATCCATACAGGAAAACAATTTCTAACTTAAAAGAAAAAAAGGAATAAAAATGCTAGATCCTTCCTCTTCTTACCAACCCAACTGAATATAACTTAACAAATACTAAATTTTAATCGCAGGTTTCATTTTTAATTATCTCTCACAGAAAAACACTCCCAGAGTCTTCCTCTGTCTTAATTATTTTGGTTATTTCTAACACTAATAAACAAAAAGCATTCTCACATAAATCAGATTCTTGGATGAGAGAAACTAAAGTTCCTATGAATTGGTCTACTTTTCCCAGCAATTTTTCCTTCACATGAGAAGGTGTAGAGAAAATAGCACCACGGAAGAAGACAGGCAACATTTCTTGCTTATCCTGGCTCCTTCTGAGGCCAGGGGTAAGAAATGGCACTGCCTCAGCCCTCTGAGGTTTTGACTTTGCCTACAAGAGTAACTTTCCATCCTGTGCTTACCAGACAAAAGCTAATTAATAAATAGCAAACCACAAGGCACAACTCATCATAGCTGACAGGCAAGATTAAATCAAGAAATGATAATTCCTACATGAACTCCTACTGTTATCAAAAATCTTCAGCCTAAGCCTTGCCATCACTGCTTCAGCTGGAACCCAGATAAAAGCACTCACATCCAATAAATGGGACCATTTCAAGACACATGCAAACATTTGGTTCTTCTCCTAAAAGAAGTAAGATATCTTAGCATGAAAACAAAGTACAATTCCAAGCCTAAGCAATGCTTTCCAGCTCATTCTTTTTAAAATTAAATGCAGATGCACTCTATTTCAACATTAATTATAATCAATATCACACAGGAAGTCACAGCATATAAACAGTACTTAAGAAGCACTTCTCTGAAGAAAAAACAAACAAAACCCACAAAACCCAAAATAAATAAAATTAAAAACAAAACAGCAAGAGAAATTCATCCAAACTCTGCTTCTCATTGCAACAACTTTCTGCTGGAAGCACTGCAGTGCAAGGCTGACTGGGAGACATTGGCTCAATCTCACCATGCATCTTTCCAGGTCTAATTAGATTTAAATGTGACATCCAGATTTCAAACACATTTTAAAAAACTCTCCAAGTTTATTTAAGCAAGGAGGTAATTGTTTTCCTTCAGTTTTATTTATTTTGTTAATACAGCCTCTCAGCCAGAAAAAATATTGGTATAATCCTTTCTGGGTTGTTTGGAGAGCCTGATATTCCTTAACACTGTTGTTCAGACACAGCTGAACTCTTTACTGAGTTTGCTCAACAAACAGAGGCTCTTTGTCACACTCAACTGCAAGAAAAACAACAAACAAGGATGTCCTTACCCACCATGGGCTAAGAGCCATATTTTAAATGAACTTATGGATTCCTAGAGTGGAAGCACATCCAAACACACCAAGAACTAACCACATGGAACACCCTCAGTGGAGCCATCTCAGTGTCTGACTGGCCCCAGGTGTGACATAAAGTAGCATTACTATTGCATAAAAACAAAATACTTGAAACCATAACCCTTCACAGCAGGTGAGCAGCCCTGACCTGGCTCTATCCCTCCCTTTCACCACAGGCCCATGGGCAGCACACAGCTGCCAGCGAGTCCCTGGGGCTCTGCTGAGTAAGTGCAGGGCACACCAGACAGAACCTTCCCCTAGGTGAGGATTCTCAAACCCCACAGAACACTCCCATGTGTTCAGCAAACTCCCCTGCCCAGGAACACTGCTGCCACGGCAGTGTTGGCACCTGTGATGGGTGCACACTCAGATATTGCTGCTCCTTATGCAGCTCCTGTGCTGCTTCAAGAAGGTTTGAACACCTCTGGTTCTTCTGTGACCAAATCTCCCCAAGATGGAGAGAGAGCAACAAGAGACAGGTGGAATGAAATGTCACTGATCTCTGCAGACTGGGCTTCAGTAATATTTTCCAGCTGTTGAACTTCTCTAGCAGACAGCTATTTCCAAACACTTTCAAAATTACAGTGAATCATTTGTAAATCACAATTGCTCCATCCCACTGCAGCAAAAGTTAAAACCACAGAGCCAGAGCTTTACAAAGTTTAAACACCATTAAAATAACTTAGTCTTATACTCCAGGGCCTCCCCTCCACCCCCCAAAAAATTACTGTCTCCAGGTGAATCCTCATTGCAGATGTGAGATTATTAAAAATTAGTTTTGATTCCAGCTGCTATTTTTAAGCATGTCGGTGTAAGTCTTAGATTTGGGCACCCCATGATGAGCTCCCCTGCAACACTGACATAATTTTGACAGTAGAAAAAATGGCTACAAAATTAGGAATTGTCCCTGAAAATTTTGCAAAATAAGCAGTGTAAGGATTAAGCAGAACATATGAAAATTACCAGTAAAGCTAAGATTAAACATGATTGTGCTTTTATATTGATGGTAAAACCAAATATGGGAGTACATGAATTCATGTATGTGCATATACACACACTTCTGTGTAAAATAGTATTTTATTCAACATAAATAGACCAGTTATGAGTATCTACTGCATGTGTATCTAACAGTAGCACAAAGAGCACAATAGAAGACAGAAATTATACAGGAATAAAAGGATATATTGCATTTACAAAGGTAATGTATTCATTCATTACAACATATCACATAAGTATAAATATATTATCTCTAAAATATATTGTATTTAATCTATCTGTAGATAGAGATATTTGCATTTCCACATGTAAGTGAAGAAAAGTTAACTGTTCAAAAACTGGTAATGAAAGAAAAACATACCTGCTAATAATTCAGAATGATCAAAGCTGCAGAAGGCTTTCACACAAGTGTGGAAAGTTGAATTATAGGTGATCCACTGCCTATAAACATAAAGTGATGTATTACAAAAATACACACACACAACCCCAATCACAAATAAACAGAGATGGGCTCTATACCAGTTTATAAGAATGGCATTTTAAAGTCATCAAGAAGAGCAGTCTGAAAATGCCTCCTTGATGTCCAGCAGCAGAGAAAAATCTATTCATTTTGGCAATGGGACAGAGTGGGAGGAGATTTATTTGGAAAAGATTTTGATAGCAAAGCAAGAATCCCCAAAATGCGACTTTATGAAAGTAGCTCGAATTCCGATTGTTGTTTGTTTTACACCATTACAGAGAAGAACTAGAAAAGACACAGGGCATAACAACATGGATGCTCAAAGATAATACTGTGACTTTTAGATTTTAAAAAAGTGTCTTTCATCATGAAAGAGAAATGCACACAGAGTGACCAGAGCAGAAATGCATAAAATCAAAGGTATGAAAGACAAATTGAGCCTCACAAACTAGAGGCCATTTAATAAAGTTACTGACAAGTCTCAAATGCAAGTAACAGTTTTTTTACAGAAGCTTTGGTGTTGTGCAATTCATTGTCACAATATACTCTGAAGGTCAAATGCTAAAAATGAGGATTACAAAAGGCAATAAAGCATAAATCATTAAATACTGCGAATGTGTTTCATATATTAAACACTGTCAAATTATTCTCTTCTTGTAGTCTTGCCACACATTGTTTTCAATTGGAGAACTGTTATTCAGAAATATTACACAGGTAACTAATGACTGTTAGCTTAAAAATGGTTATTTAAATTATTTACTAACAGATGTCCTTCTGAATTATTAATTTCTCTTGGAAGTCTATAAAGCTTTATAATGAGGCTAGTTAAATAAATGTTTTAGCTGTGACCTGAGGCAGAATTTTTTTCAAACAGCATCCTTCAGCTGATGAAGCCTGAAACCAGAATCTCAGTTCTTCTTGGTATTGTAACCCTCTTTTGGAGTTCATGAAGGAATTTTCTACTCATTAGCATGAATTTCCATTTATATTTCCAAAAGAAAGTCTCCTTTGTTCATGAGGAAGAAGCAAACAAAAATGACAGAAGTTAATTTTTAAAATGCCTCACAAATTGATTTTACCCAAAGTCACTCTTCCCACGCCACATGCACCGAATTGCAACTGCCTGCCATGCTTTAGCTGTGCTTCAGTCCATATAAAGATATTACATTAGGAAACTGCTTGTAGGGCTAACCACAGTATTACACATAAAAAAAATTTAAAAAAAAAAAGAAAATCACAGAAGTTAAGCAACAAAAATGTTCTAATTACTTTAGTTGAATAGCTTGATTTTTCTTTTGCATTATTTCAGTAAGCATTGTTAGTCTTCATTGTCTGTACTTCTTATTTGGCAATTAGGACAAAAACAAAACAGGAAAGGGCTTTTGTTTCATCAGTAGCACTTTTACGACAAGTTATGCCTCAAGCATACCCAAAGACCCTGCAGCATTCAGATGGGAGCCATGTAACACCACTGCTACCCATGAGTAAAACTTCTACTCTGACACAAAGAATTGACACTAGAAAGCTGATTGTAGCAAAATTGTGCAAAATACTTGCTCTTTTCCCCAAATAAGTTTCCTTCAAATGAATCTGCAAGTTCACTAAGCAGCTAGGTCACCAAATCTACTGCCATCATGACAGAGTTATGATATTTTCTTCATGTCTTGACAAGCTCCTTTTGGAATACTGAAGAAAAAAGTGATAGTCCCAGGCGCTCCTAAAAATTTGAACGGGGCAGGCAAAACGATCTGAAAACCACTACATTCTTCTAACACAGACCCACAAAACTACATTTATTACAATCTGTTACTTGGAAGATATTTGTCTAGAAAGCAGCATCATTTAAAGTATTGCAAATGGTGTAAAGAGAATATAAAAGTGGTCCAAAAGGATCCCATCTAGAGTAAAGTTTTACAATGTCCTTGGCATCAGCTGATCAGATCATGCCATCATTTTCTGTGTGCTGGATGATTTCTACACCCACCTTCCTCCGTTTTCAAGTGGTCCTTGCACATGCTCATGGGAAACTTGTAAAGCCCCATTAAGTCAGCATATATATTCAGTATAAAATACTGAATTACAACAGAATACTAGGGGTAGTCAGTGCCAAAAAGCCCAAGTGTAAATCTATTTGAACACTACAGGTGTCTCCTATATAAGAAAAATAAATTATAGGTCATTCTTTTATGCAGAAATCTTAGCAAATAAGAGCTATTGGGACTTAGTAGAGGATTTTGAAAGATCTGGAAAAACTAAAAGAGTACAATCTATATCAGCAAAAGAAAAACTGCAGTAACTAAGGGTAAATACCTCTTCTTTCTCAAACTTTTTTGTATGCTGGTGGCCATATTTCCACTTGGGAAAAGTAGAGAGAGTAATTAAAAAAGCAACACACCAAGTCACATCATTGGCAGGCATTCCCAACATCACACATTTACTAATGCTATTAACAGGGGTTTTTTTTAAATTAAGAATAGACTGAAATTTCCATAAATCTTTCCAACTCAAAAGTCAGACAATTTGTTTCTTCTGTGATGAACAGGTGATAGCACAATAGGCAAAGGATGTGGACTGCGATGTGTTTTCTGAGAAACTGTAGCATATTAACATAGCCAGAGACAGAGCTGATCAAAACATATTGGAGACTTGTGACACCAATCAAAGCAGTAGCACTTTGCAACACAGTATCAGTTCTGTAACATTCTTAATCTTTTTAAAAAAGAAAAAGAATGTTTTACTTCTAAAATACTCAATTCCACTACTGGAAGAAGTAACAAATCATGAAAAATCAGAAGGAATGACTTTTCAGACATACCTTTTTAATAGACACATGCCCAGATAAATGCAACTTGAGCCTCCTCTACTCTTACACAGATAAAATTATAATAAACTTCACTTAAAACTCTAAGATGAAAAAATAAAGCAGCCTCTAACTCAGGTGCACATTAAATATATGAATTTTCGGAACGAGATTAAGTCAGTGTCCAAACTTCAATAATTCCGTGCATCAAAAGAAGTTTGCAAGATTTTTCCTTCAGCCCAGTTTTTAAAAGTCCCAGTTCAAAAATATAGGTCAAGTTACCTACTGCCTCCAAACTTTCTCAAAGTCAGCTCAAATAGTGCAAGCCTGACCCATTTTGAGTGGGCTCTTCAAAACTAACTAAATAAATTAATCAGGTGGCTTCATGACTTTTCATTATATATATTTTTCTGCATTAAAGGTCTTGCACATTAAACATATTGGCATTTGAATTCCATACTCGGAAAAGATTGATATGCAGAATTCACAGGCATTTGGGGCTCACTAGTCAGCTCAAGGTAAATTAGTGCTTTATATGTTTTATTTAATAATTACTAGAGTAAACAAGTATTAATATAAAGGTTGAGCACAACAGAAAAATCACTACTTTTTCTGATCGCTATCCATTAGTTTAATTGAAGGAAAACCAAAGCATCAAAAATCAGAATATATAAATTTACTATTATAATACAATTACTATACTAATTCCTTATTTGGACAATCTAAACAATGAAAATTCTTTAACTCAATTCTACTATCTTCTCTTATTAGTCCTTGAACCAGAGGAATGGGGAGCAGTTGGGGACAAACATTCTCTACTTAGTAAAACTGACCTATACACTATCCCATGGGGGAAGGTCCATTGGAAAATCTTGCAAATTTCATCCAAAATACTTCAGTAAGAAGAATGATATTTCTACAGTAAAAGTCCCATTTTCTGAGATATTTTTAAAGGTAGCTTCATTCTGATCATTAAGCAATATTATTCCGAAAATCACTTATGAGGGGTTTCTAGTGAATTGTTGTCTTTTTTTGGCTGATTCTGCCAAAGCAAATATCATTGCGGCAAAAGCTGGCATATTTTAGTCCTCTCTAGATTTCTGCATTACATTTCAGCAGTAATGTATTCTGCAATACATTTCAAAGTCTTATTTCAGGTACAAATAAGGCAAATTTCTTAATATACCCACCACAGATTTTCTCTGAGGATAACTATTATGAGAAATTCAAGAGAAGTCCACTGATAAGAAGAGCTGCTCAGGTAAAAGGACTTTTACAGCCTGAGAACTGCTATCTATAATCTTGGCACTTTGATCTCTCAGAATATGAACTAATGTATCTGTAATGCAGCTCATTATTAATAGTTAAGTATCTTTAAATGGAGCAGCTTTGAAGATCAGTTCCAATATCAATAGTTTGCATTTATATAGGGCTTTCATTTTCAAGGACAATGGTACATGGTCCCTGAAACATGCATATGGACACAGAGACTTCTACTTGCATTCAAACACATCATTAAGATTAAAAAAATGTATCCATTTTAAAATAAATAAAAATGCATAATCCATCAGTTTACATATAGTTTTTGGAACTTCAATATATTTGCCTAGGTGACATCCCAAAGTATAACCACAGATATCAATGCAGTTGTAGTGATTAATTGTGGAGAACATCTTCCAATGCTCTCTGCAGAAAAAGTTATATCAGAAGACTACTTCTGTGCAAAAAATAAACAAAACAATCTTCATTTTTTAACAGGTTCTGAAAATAAGGGGGAAAACTTTATCTTTTACAGAGGAATCTTCTACAAAATACCATTTGCACTATTTCACTTAATATAAGATAGGCATTTCAGTCAATTCAGATCTTCACAGACTCACTTCTCTTGAAAACTCAGGTAGGATACTTAAAAATTTCCACCAGGTTATTTTTAAATGAGCTGCAGAAGACAGAGACTTTAAACCAGACAAAATCAACAAAAAAAAATCTATTAAACACAAAACAAAAAGTTCTGTTCAAAGATTTCTGATATAGCAAGCAACATTAGTTCCCCTTCATTTAAATTGATTTTACTTGCTATGCAATATTCCAAAGATACATTGTATTGCAATTTACTTCTTCCACTTGTACTTCTACAACTGCACAAATTAAGTTTCACCAAAACATCTAAGGA